TGGAAAATGTTATTAATTAAATGGAAGAAAGAAATATCAAACAACAGGAATTTTCAGATTACATATAGGAGAATCAAACAAGAAGATTGCCTACCGGCCATTAAATCGCCTACAAAGGGTAAATGCAAACTTAATTATTTAGTTCTATGTAATTAATTTAAAATTTAATACATATTATTCAATTTGATCTAGAAAATCCTGTTCTATTGTACACGTCTTAAACATGGAATTTATCTAAGTAACATGTGTTGGGTTAACTAAGTAAAACAATGTATTCTGTATGGTATAATAATTAGCAGAGAATTTACAAATGACTGCGTGTGATATATACACTTGTATATTGTTACATATGAATAAAATCTTTTACAATAATGATAACTGTATTTTATGTTTATTTGCAAAATATATTATATACCTACGTATACATAAATTCTATTTTTTTGATTATATTGTTATTTCTATGTATACATGTAATATTACAGAGTTGGTAAAAATTTTTCAAATATTACCTATATGGATGTATAATCCTCTCGCATTATGGTTACAGAAATGCACAAAATAAATCAAATCGCAGAATTTAGCCCTAATTCCAAATATTATTACTAACGTTAGCATTAGCTGTTTGCCCTAACGCCAACGCCGACACTAACTCTGATTTAATTAATCAAATATGACTAGACACGATTTTAGTCATTCCCTTTATTGGTTAAATTTTGTCGATCCCTAACACATTAAATCGATAGTAATAATAAAGGATAATCTTAAAAGAAAATAAAATTATTTCACGGGATTATTACACCGATATATATTTTAAAATTAAATTTTGAAACAAAAAAATTGGAATAAAAAACCTTTTACCAACTTTTATTACTATGTGAAAAAAATACACATCCAAATAACCCACACAAATATAACACGAAATACATATAATACAATCAAAAGTAGGTATGCTTCTAATAAAATTAGCGAAAATGTTAGAGCAAAAAGCAAACCTGTAAAGAAAAAGAATTATAACTAAAATTAGTGTATATATAATAATAGCTTATTAGTTCATTTTAGTCCTTTATTTCCTTCTTTCATCATAAGGAACTACTTGATTTGATAACTTTGACTGAGCAGTATAGCCACTGTTTATTGTCTGATTAAAGTTTTGTTTATTAGAGCTTTTACTACTGCTACCTCGTACACCATGAGGATAAGGAGCTACTTGATTTGATAACCTCGAATGATCAACGTAACTATTATTTATAAAATGATTGTTCATTATTTGGTTATTTGCATCAACATCTGGTTTTGATACAGGCGGTAAATCACTATAATTATTATATAATGTAGTATAATTTAATCTTTGATATACCTCTCCTCTAACATTATGCGCAGATTTTCGTCTCATTCTTTTTAACGAGTCTCTATTATCAGAATTTGGTATTATATTTTTTGATTCCTCTAAAGATTTGAATAAAGGATTAGGAGTCTTTGGTTGTGAATAAACATTATTTGACATTGGAGTAATAATATTATTTTGTTGTTGGCTATTAGGTACCGGAATAGAAGGAATCGGTGGTATTGGGGATTCAGTTATATTGTCATGTAAGTTTGGTAATGATCTTGAATTATTATATGATAAATAAGGAACATTTGGCTGAATAATTGAAGGTTGATCTATTTTATATTGATTGTTTCCTTGATGTGCAGATTGCTGTGAAACCTGATAAGTTCCTGGATTATTGGGAATAGGTGGTAAAGGAAAGGATCGAGATTGAGGAAAACTATCTGAGCGTTTATGACCAAGAGAGAATGGCACTTTGTTATGTGGTTGATATGATTGCAGAGGTTGCTGTGGCTGTTGAAAGCCTGATACAGATTCAGCTTGATTTAGAGTAGGTGGAAACATCATACCATTACCATTTAAAGGACGCATATCTGGTACATATTGAGGCATTTGCTGATAATTTGTCAATCGTTGAGAAGGTAACGTCGTGTTGTGCTGATGAACAATTGGAAGCTTTGAGTTCGGAGGATTATTATATGTCAACGAGCGTACAGGCGGCAAACCCTGTAAGCCTTGTTTTGGTTGTATTGCAACAGAATGTTTACGTGTTGAAACAGTATGTATTTGATCGAACCCCTGTGTACTTTGAGTAATCCTTGAGTTGCCTTGATTTTCTTGCATTCTTAAATTGCCCTGATTTTCTTGAATCCTTGAATTGCCCTGATTTTTTTGAATCCTTGAATTTCCTGGTGTACGGTTATGTTCTGGCGTAGTTTCATTAGGTATTTGATTTTCTTGTCTCTGAGGTTGTGTTGGTCTACGGATAAATGGAGAAGGGGGATTCGCTATTAAACTTTCCTGATCCATATATTGTCTTTTTTCTAAGACATCAATAGACAATGTAGATGCAGCATCTGCCACATGAGTCTCCTGAACCTCCATGTCAATTTCTTTAGTCTCCTTCTTTTCTGATTTACGTTTATTTTTATCTATTGGTTTCTTTGAAATTCGCTTTGCACAAAACCATACAAGAAGACCAAGAACAACCTGTTGACCGATCATGCAAATTCTTTAAAATATTAATGTTTTCAAAATTCGATTTTAAAATCTTTCAAAGAATCTCATACCAAAATAATCTCTTGAGTTCCAAATATCACAAGACCTGCATATATAGCAAAGTTCGCTTCACGTTCACAGTTTATATCATCAGAATCATTGGACCTTGCGATACAAGAACCAACCGTATTGTTTTTCATTGTAAAAGAAAGGATTATCTTTACAACATCAATGATCGTCAGGACAAAAACAGAGAACCAATGATCACGCGCATAACGATTCATCAATAATGCATTATTAGAAATAGCACCAAAAATTCCAAATAAACCCGAAGGAGCCACTATTATTTCGAGAATAGCATAGCCGATCAAAAACGGTGTACTGAGATGATTTGCGGTGACTAAGAAAATCAAGAAAAAGTCATTACTTGTAGAATGATCAATGTGATAAAGATTGTATTGACTTACTATTCCGATTTTTGATAGTAACAACGGCAACGAATAAAGTATAAAGCTGATAGTTATTGAAGTGAAAAATTGAAAACAAGACTTTAAGAATGCATGCGAATAACCAAAAAAATTCAAATAACCAAAAAAATTCAAATAACCAAAAAAGTTCAAATAACCAAAAGTTCAAATAGTAAAAAAAAACATACAAGCAACAAGGTAGAGACAAAAAAAACACTTAAGCGAATTAAAACGCGCTGCATTGAAAAAAGTCTAAATGGATTGATTCGTTTAAATCAAGTTATTCGACACCTTAGTTTCTTTTAAGCGGAGAAACCGCGAATTTTGACCGACTTGTCGGGAATTTTTGACGGTGAGCTCGCGAAATTACTCCGACCTAGACCGAGAAGCGTGTTCGTTATAAACGGACCAGCGTTCCTCAGATTGGCACTGCCAAAAAGTAAGCTTTTTTTTGTCTGCGGCGGATACTAAAGTAAAAGAGCAAAACACCGTACTGAACCGGGTTTGGAAACCTAGGGGTAGAAAAGCAACGAAAACGTGAAGCTAGTGATTATATATAGAAATGAAAATATTCAAAAAGGAAACGGGGAATGAAACAAGTTTCACAAAATTCACTAAATTTCCCATTATTCTTAACAAACTTTTGACAATCTTTGTTTTCAAACAAAAATCACAAAAAATCAGATTGGGTAAGATAAAGTTCTTCGTGAAACGCTACGATCAGTAATTTTTTAATTCATCCACAACATATATTAATAGCATCAAATATTGATATAAGTATTAATAGCAGCAAGATTTTTTACCAATACATATTTCACGTGAAGCTTTTGACAATATTGACAATATCGACAATATCGACAATATGGCGCAAAAATATTAACTTTTTATTAATTGTTTTTATTGTAGACTTTCTCTTTTTTATCGAGCTATCGTGATAATAAACAAGATTGAAAATCGACTAATCAAAAAAGTCAAAATTATTTCTATATACAGAACATTCGGTAAGTTCAAGTAATGTTGATTTTTTCTTTTTAAATACAATTCATTCAACTTTAACCTTTGTTTTTTTTTTATTAACTTTAGTCAGCCCTGGTCTTAATGTTTTTATTTAACCTTAGCCTGTATTTTGTCTTAATGTGTTTGTTTAGTCTTAGCGTTAGTTGCCCTGTACGTGTTCATTTAATTTAATCTTAATCGACCTATACTTGTACGTATTAATGTATTAATGTTGGCGTACGTAGAACTTTCCATTTACTCCTATTCATTTAAACAAATCAAGTTTTTAGGCACTCCTTATTAAAGTACGACATGTGAACTTGCTTCATTTGTTCAACATAAATTTTAGGCGCCTCTTATTATATTACCGTTTTTTCGAAATTTTTAAAACGATTATGGAGCTGAAGTCTATACTTTATTTGATCTAATGCCTTTTAACTTATCATTTTCGTAATTTGAGATATGCTCTATAAGCTACTAATTATATTTTCAAAATTTTGCTTAATATTTCATATATAAATTTACGTTAAGAATACTTCCCGACCTTTATTTAGTGGAAAGAAATTGCAATATCATTTTTATGCTGTAAGATCATCTATTCCTTGGCATTATAACTCTTATTTTAATGATCAATTTTAAATCGTACTGCATTTAGAACAGTGAGTGTTCTGCATAACTAAATTTTTATAATCAGAAATTAATTTAAATAAAACATGAATTTTAGGAATTGATATTATTAAAGTTAATAGATTTTTTATTATTGATGTTAGTGATAGAGATGTTACAAATTAATCGTTCATGAATTCTCAAATTTAGTTCTAAACTACAGAGTGTGGATTCGAGTGTGGATTCTCGGAAATTCTCTTTTTGCCGACCATAAGGAGACGCAACAGCTACATATTTGTTATACGTACATATGCTGCGAGCCCTGAAATTTTGTTTTTAATCAGTCATACCGGAATCATTTTATCATTTATACGTATAATAATATTGATCAACCATTTTAAGAAGCATATTGATATGCATACGTGCCGCGTCCTCAATAAGGAAAAACACTAAGACCAGGGCTGACTAAAGTTAATAAAAAAAAAAAACAAAGGTTAAAGTTGAATGAATTGTATTTAAAAAGAAAAA